AATATCAGGGATATATTAAATGAGGAGCAGTTATTTTAGTCTTATGCTACTGCTCTATGGTCCGAGAATCGGTACAGTCCTTTCTGATAAGAAATTTAAAACTTTAGAGACTTGATTCTACATGTTATTCCGAATAAGAAATCATATATTGCCAATGCTGCTACAATTGTTTATGTTTTGACAGCAAACGGTCTATTTAATCTGCTGAAAGAGACGGGTGTCAAAATATTATTTTGTTGAAAGGTTAAAAATACCTGAAATATATTGAGAAACTGATGTATTACAGATTTATAATAATAATTTTGTTATATGTTGTACTGAAAAAGGATAGGCAATACAAAATCTAATCGATGTGAAAAGGTCAAGGTCACATCTACATTTTTATGTCATAAATGGAAAAAATCAGGAGGTTAAGATTACCGCCATTTTGAAATGATGGTCCTTCATACAAATAGTCAAACTTGTCGTTTTGACATCTTTTCTAGTTTATACTTGTGATAAAGTCGTTTTTGTAGCATTTTATTGAATATATCTCAGAAAATTTCGTCTGTTTGTCTCATGTTTGCATTTTGATATATTCAAGGTTAGACCTTTGACTTCAATTTTACAAAAATGCGACCATACTGGGTTTGTACGACCAAACTTTTCTTATTGAACACATTTTCCTCTTTCCAACAATGTACAATATATTTGTGTGTTCTTCTGGTACATTAAAGTCAAATCATATTTTCTTTGGTTGCAGTACTATTAGATTCTATAACATGTTGAAAATAAATGTTGCGATATTATTTGACTCGGCATAACCTTTACTAAATTGTAATTTTGATTAAAAAAAAAAGATGAAAAACTCTTGATAAACATATGTAGGCTCATGACAGACATATTTTCAAGCTTTTATATATTTTTTAAAGAAATAACAGCGTGTTAAAAATGGCAAAAATAGCATCAGGACTAGGATCACAGATACCCTTTTTAAGATTGTAAGCTTCTGTGTTTCCCTGGTTATATGTTTTACTGAAAATAAAGAGAACATGACCATTACCGTGTATGGACCTGCATTTTGCATCAATTATTGAGGTAGCATGTATACTGAAGCAGAACTGATCATTCCCTGCAATTATTGAAGCCATGACAGCTTTTTCTAACTATAGACAAACAGGAAGTGGCTGCACGGTGGAGGTAAAAATTGTTTACCCGCTTCAACTAAACATTATCAAGCTGCAGACCCAATATAAAATCATTCTCTTTCATAGAAGCAAACAAAACTGTTATAACTGTTTTCTACCCAAGTGTCTTTCGGACGGATGGACGGACGGGCTGAATGGCGGAATTAGACGATTATTAGGCCTGCTGTCACCGTTGGCGAAAACGGACTCCATGTGTATTAACTTTTTGCTCATCTATAAAAAACCCAGCTTCGATGTCATTTGTGTGCATTGGAAATCAGTTAAAAAGAAACATAAACTATCCAATATCTATCCTACTTTTATGCGACACAATAAACTGTGGAATCTGTTGGTGCGGGCTGAAGTGTTTTAGTCGTGTATATCTTATGGAGAAAGCCGTTCATGTGGTGACAAACGCTGCAAGTACTGCCTTCAGATGCATCTTTCTGCTGAGTTTTGTTTTGTTACTCTGATGTGCAGGATTGCAGATCCTCACCTTAGTAGCAATATACCAACTTCACCCGCGTATGGAGAATATATTTCTCAACTCATATGATATTCAAGAGCTTGCAGCCGCTATAAAACGCTATCGGTGTCTGAGCACAAAATAATGACCCAGGGTTTTATAAAAGAAATTTTCGTCCTTTTCCTCAGAACGTTCATCGGAAAGTACCAAGAACTAACAGATAAATATTCAGTTTGTAAAGTTCACAAATAATACAAGATGGTCTTCAGTTACAGATTTCAGGTGCTAAAGTGGACTATCTTCTCATTAACTTTACTGTTTTCCCTTTATTTGCTTTCGTGCTGTGAAGGTTTTTTTGGGGTTTTTTTTTCGTCGTCTGACTTTTGACGTGACTTGGTATTTACGAATCCCGCTATCATATTTTTCACTTTGGGTGTTCCTGATGCAGGTGGGTCCTGATGTGCGATTCGGATGCAATAGATTTTTACTGTGTTGTTTTATTTTGTTTACCCTTGGATTTATATTTTAATTATTTTGTTCTATATCGAGAAAATGTTTACTATATACGGTACGTACTATAAACTACAAACAAAATTTATCGGCGTCTTTGTTAAAATACTTTCAGCTACAACACCTTTTTGTGACGTCTTTGTTAGAATTCATTTGTATGTTTGTTTGAATGGTTTGTCAGTTGTGGTGTATGTTAACACAGTTTTGGCTGTTGAATCCCAATTACTGTCACATTAACCTATATGTCTGTTTTGGGTTGCTCACATTATTTTGTCAATTTAACCGACCCATTAACTACTGTCATACAACCTCAATAATTTGATACGAATGAAATAAGAACGTAAGGTAACATTTTATTGTGATTAAGGGTATAGAATATGTATCAGAGACAATGTTTATAAAAGTTGACAAAGTTACATCAAAGACATTTACAAATGGAATAATATTTCACATCAATGCGATAACATCTATGCCAGTACAGTAGCAATTGTAACATGTGTAAGTTAACACATTGGTTTTATTGCATTACTTGCCTTGGATATAGAAAAGATATTAAAAACACTAGTAGCCTATAGCATTAGCCAGGCGTGACACTAACAATTCAACTATTAAAGTGCAATAAAAAGAGTGAAATCCGAATAAAAATAGCTTCCTGTTATACCGAAAAACAATCGTTGAATCTGTATTATCGATTGCAGCTACATTACAGATAGCTGATAATAAGGTATGATACACGTATGATATAACAAAACTGAATCTATAACTCAAGGATTATTTCACGGTCAACATTCACTTATTTTGACAAATAAAAGAGGGGCAAAAGGGATATTCAAGCTCATTAGTCGAAGACATTCTGACAAAGCTATGTCAAAAACCATTCAAACATAATGTAATAAGTAAAATCAGGACGCCAAGTTGAACGCGTACGGTATGTCCTCCCGCAATGACATGCGCATGTACATTTGTATCAAACTCTTTTCCAGACTGTTCAGTAAAGTCAGTTTAACTGACAGTTTCCTACATTTGAAATGTTTATGATTAATATATATCATTTATTTGTTTTTCATTTGTTAATTGTGATAGATATATTTCAACGGTCTCTAATTAATTTCAATTTTGTTGACATTTGGCAAAATAATTTCGTCCGAAAAGAATTTCAATCCCTTTGAATGCTACATGTACCTGTTTTTAGTATTATAGTCCACCCTAGTTCTATAAATCTTCACAAAACGTTTTGTTTTTAATTAATTTACTTATTTTGCAGTGTTTATTTACTTACATGGTTTACGAATTCTGATAATTAATTGCAGTAATTTGTTCCTTCAGGTCTAATGTTAGTAACAAGGAGAATAACAGTTAATGAAGTGAATGCAAAGGCCATAACAACAACTGGTCGTCTGGTGTTCCAATCAGAATTTTAAATAACATTATCTATATATGAATGAAGATCATTTTGTTCAAGGGTTTTCATTTGTATTTGATTGAAATGAACTGCTACAAACAATTGAAAGGCTGTTGTACAATAAACTGTACCTCACTCTGTAAAGATTTGATTGTGAAATAAATATTTACAATAGAAACCTAATGTGTATCTACTTTATCTAATGAAAAAAAAAATTAAGTCAAAATTGTAAGACTGTGTATAACAATAGAAAAAATGTGCGATATACATTTTGCTACGGCAATCAAATTCAGTATTTTAATCATTTTTTTTTTAATTTACAGAAATCAAATCACTATATATATCAAAAAGCTAAATTAAATGCTATTGCTTATTGTCCAATTTTTTCATCACATTTTCTACGTTTGAATTAATGTAAATGTAAATATTACAGAAATACATGAGTCTATGTCGGATATGGATATGAGAGATACGCCGCTTATAACATAAATGAGACCCTTAAAACTAAAAGTATTAAATCTATATCAGATCATTTTGAATCTTACATTATACAATCTCGAAAAGAATCACATTGCAACGTATTTCAGACAAAATATATCACCATAGCAAAATTCTACACCACAGAGTTGAAAATAGTATTTAATGGTACACATCTGTTCTAATTGAAATCAGAATCCCAAACCCCCTTCTGTCATCATTGTGCTATATGGCCTCAAACATTGTTTTCATCAGCAACACAATGGGTAATGCTTATTGAGCAATAAATGTCTATTGATTAGGGAAACCTAGATTTAACATAGGTTTTTGGTCGTTTCAGTGTAATGTTTTTCTCCCTTTAGCTTATCTTTTCTTTTATTCTCTTGCCATGGCGTGTCTCGTCTTATAACTTTTATTCTTTTTGATGGGATTCTCGAAGAAAAAGTACACAAATAATACAGATAGAAATTAAAAATCAAAAATATTAATAGAATATTTTTTTTTCAAATATACATCAATACTTAATTTGTAACCTAATATATCATATGCATGGATACAAATCTATGTGATCACTGAAAAATGAGCATCTTGGACAACAGTGTCACATACTATTATTTATTGAACGCTTGTTTTATAGAAATTTTGTTCTATATCCTCATTTGAGGGCCAGTACAACAGTTTGTATTACCTTTTCAAACGATCGTTATTCTTGGCCATATATAAAAGTAAAATAACAAAAATACCGAACTCCAAGGAAAACTGAAATCAGAAAGTCCCTTGTCGAATGGCAAAATCTGTCATATTCCTGACTTAGTACAGGCATTTCCTTATGTAGAAAATGGTGGATTAAACCTGGTTTTATGGCTAGCTCATAACCAAATGTTCATATTTGCTTTTCAATGAATCGATCACTGTAAATCTTTTATTTCAAACAACATTAACTTCTTTTAATTAAAATCATTATTAGCATTTTGCAACTTTACAATTTAGTATTCTCACTTTTATCAATATTTTTAGGTTTTTCAATATTAATTTCAGTTTCTTCTTTGGCCCATTCTTGAACTTCTCCACTTGCCAAGCATCCAAAAACAACAATTCCAAGCAGGCATACTCCAGCACACACATAAAACATATTTCTCCACTCTTCAGCTGTATCCTAAAAACAATAACTATCAATGTTACCCCTAACATGTTGATATCTCTCAGGGTTTGAATAATATCTTTCTAGGCATGTACTGAATATCGAATCTAGAAACCTCTAAAAATATTATCGGGCATTTCTAAACATTTTTATCACTAAAGATGTACACTTAACGACAGTTACAAAAATAAATCAGACATGAAATTAACGGATTAAGACTGGGTAACATATATATTTACACCATTGTAATGATAGTGGTCTATGCACGATCCGCATGTTGACATTCACTGTTCGTTTGTTTTTTTTTTTGTATAAGGTATAATGAATATGACTATATTTGGAGTACCCTTCAAAAAAGTCGAAACAGACAAGTTGACATACATTTTTGTGTGTATTTGTTACTTTTACGTTTCTTTTTTAAACCTTTCGCATTCTGTGTCCAGTATTTTTGTGCAATTAAGTGAAAATTGTATTGCAAAGAGTGCAGTCCAGTTCCAATACAAGAATTTACGTATGGTTTGCATTTGCAAAATTTTGTCACTTCAAAAAATTTCGAGAAAATTTCCTTTAAATTCCATCAAATATCTTCAATGCAAAATGTGCTTCTTGTTACAAATAGTATCCTCTCATACTTTATTTTACTTTCCTATGTCCCGCTAGTTCGTTCGACTCCGATCTTAATTTTGAATGATTGACTTATTTCCTCAATAAGGTCTGTGGGTCTCTACGGATTTTCCGGCTTTCTCCGCAAGTAAAAACTTTATTGATGTGTTTATTACAATGACAGTTTACCGGAAATGGTCATTAATGGTAACGAGCCAGCTACAACTATTTATATAGCACTGATCATACAATTGTAAAAACAATTTTTGGAATATACGTATTGAATTGTCGAAACATCAGTATGTACTTACAGATTACTTCCTTTTTGTAGTTAATCATGCATAAGTGTAATCATTTTACTTACATTTGGTGTTAATATACTTGTTACAGTTGGTGCCACCATGCCAGGAACAGCAGCTAGTGTATTGGTCAGCCCAAATAAGGTGCCCGCATACCTGGAAGTATATGTAAGCTTTTATACCGAAAAACATTTCTTGCAACTTTTATTTACTTGTTTATGCTTTGACATTTATTGTTTATGTTCTTGGATTATCATAAGATTAAGGTGTTGAGATATATTAAAGTTTCTTTATAGATTGAGTTAATGATATAATAGTTTATGTTGAAGAGAGACGAAAAATACCAAAGGACATACAAACTCACAAGTCGAAAATAAACTGACAACGCCACGGCTTCAAGACCAACAGACAAACAACCGTACACAAAAGACAGAGGCTAGAGTCTAAGCTAGAGGCAACAGTAGTTTACCGATGTTCAAATCTCATAAATCCATTAAGAAGATATAAATAAAACACTGTAAATTTGCAGACAAAATTCTGAACTGTAAATGTTCTTGTTCATGTGAAAGCAATAATATTTTGTTTTCTTCAACTGTAGCGTTTGCAGATAATTTGTAGATGGCCTCACTATTTTAGAAAGCGACAGTCTGAACATATTTATACGAGTGAAAGCTCTATGCACATTTCATTTAATTACTTTTGTCCTATATCGATACTGTTAACAAGGCATCCAGCATTGTGGAAACCAGCAAACAGAAATGCTAAAGACAATAGAACTACAGCAATTTCACGATCTTCACATGATGTAAAACCAGTTCCTATAAGAAACACTCCACTTCCAACAAAACCTGATAAAATAAAGCAAACATCAGAATAACAGAATCGATTTAGTTTCATTACTATAATATATGCATGACTATACAATTTTTGTTTTTTAATTGACTAAAAGCATATCGCGGAAAAACACTAGAGGTAAATATAAGATTAACCACTAATGTGAATCTAAAAAGCAATAGCGTTTTGTATTAAACTGTTCCTTAACACTTGCCTATTGTTTTTATATAAGGGAAGTCATCGGAAGCGGAAGTGCTTCATGCAAAATAAAAATGCGCACGATCAACTCTTTACCACTCTAAAAATGAATAAAATGAATAAAAGAAGCATTCAATTCTTATACCTGAGTATTTACATTTGTATGCTACAACCATTAAATAACATGCTATAACAAATTGTTGTTACGTTGTCCAGGGGGAAAAAGTCTAACAAAAACACCGAAATCTAAGGCAAATTCAAAAAGGGAAAGTCCATTAAAACAGACAAAATTAAACGCTATCAATCAACGGAACAAGTGAAAAACAATTGCCATATTCCTGACGTGGTACAAGGATTTTATTGGGAAATGAAAATTAATTTTGGAATGCCTCTCGATTGTTGTCATCTAATCAAAAGTAAGATTTTTAATGGAACATAATGCACTGTCATTATTCCAAAAATAAAATCCCGTTCACATATAATATGATTATTATAAGATATGATTACGATATATATAATTACTTTATACCTATACAGGAACATACGCGTCTTATCAGTGTAGTCGAAATTAAACTTTTTTTACGCAGGAAGTCTACAAATTGGCTGAGCAAGAATCCAGTTAGTACTTGACAAGCAAAAGGCAATGACGATAAAGCTCCATTCTGAAATGCAAACCATAATAATATGAGAGAAATTTATAAAATAAGGCAATGCTATACAAATAGAATATGAAATAGAAAACTCATAAGCGTGATAAGATTTGTTATTTTACGGCTTTGTTATAAAAAATTAAACACCAAAATCGTGTAGTCCTGAAGAAGAAAAAAACACAAAATGTTGGAAGATATGTAAAATTTTTCAAGAAGTCCGTATCAAGGCATTCAAAAAGTGAGTTGTTGCACGGAATATTCGGCAAATTTCATTATTAAAAAAAGTTTTGTTTCATTATTTCGACGAAAATTTCCAAGTTAAATTTAGAATTTCAAACTGTTTTTTGCAAAGTTTGAATAAAACTCATAGTTTACATAAAGAATATAATAATCATAAAAAAAGCAATTCACAAAAACGTTTCCATTTTTGCTGTTACATTTAAATATGAATTTTGATAAATACTCACACTTTTAATATCATATCTTAAAACTGTCTTCATAAAAATTGGAATACTTGTTACTAACGCATATAATACCCAGTTTACACAAAAGTGAGCTACGAGAATTGCGAGAAATGCAGGATTAGTCGCTATCCGACACCATGGAACAACAGCAGTCTAAAGGGAAAATCATATATTATCATTACGTCTTTTAGAAATTGCAATTCTTTTAAAAACAATGAAATCTTAAGGAGATGTTCTGAAGACATTCAAAATATATTGTACGTGTATCTATCAGCATTTGTTCTAATATGAACATCCTTCTGTTTAGAGCTTCAACAGAATGGTTTTGAGACTCTTTTTTTATTTCCTTTGAATTGTACGTTTTGTTATATAATACAGCAGAGGCCAAGAAGTATAACTTTAATCCTTAGTAATGTGAGAAACCAAAAGCGGCAATGGGGATAAGACAGACAACATTCTTGGTAAAAAAAAAGGAAAACCAAAGAACAGTCCGCTAAATAGTAAAGAGAAAACGAAATCTTCAGCAACACCACACCTGACAAACGACATGGCCGAACTCAGTGCTCAGTAAGTAGTTCCTTTTCACATGTTGTTCATGTCATGTAGAAAGCCGATGATCATCTGTTTTCAGAAATAGTCAATAAAGAGAGGTGAAAGTTATCCAAGGGATATTCAAACTCAAACGTCGATAAAAAACTGGCAATGCCATGGCAAAAACGAAAAACGACGAAAAGACAAACAACAGTACACAAAACACAAAATAGAAAACTAAAGACTGAGCAACACGAACCACACCAAAATTTGCTTGATCTCAGATGCTCCAGAAAGGGTAAGCAGATCTGCTCCAGTTGTGGCACTCATCGTGTTGGTCATGTTAGTACAAATCTGATGAAAAGTTTAATTCGGTAGGTCATATTCAAGGAAAACAGGACGTGATTGTGGTTACAGCAATTGGAACATATCGGTCGTCATCTATGAAAACATTATTCCAGAGCGGTCAACCAACTCGCGATGGCATCCGTAAAATGGGTGATTTTAACTTCACCACTTGGAATTCTTGGTTCAATAGCTTCCTTGTAAGCAGCAACCCTTTTTTAAGAAAACCATGATAGGAAATGCAAGCTCTGGAATATCGTATCAACTTGGAGATATATACTCCATATGCAGGTGCTACTTGAATGTTGCTACATAGCAATGGAACGTTCACAATTGGGAAAACTGAGAATTGATAACGAGTCTGTTGCTACGACAAAATGGAACATAAATGTGGTCGACTGCGAACAAAATAACAAATATCAATTTCGACCAATCAAGGCAAGATAGAGTTCGCAAAACTATCGAAGATATAACGTCAGCGTTACCTTTAAAACAAATAACGATAATACCTTTTCTAAAGCAGCAATACTCCTTCAATAAATCTAAAACTCGGAAAGGAAATAAGATTGTAATATGCAACTTGTTTGTCTAGACCGAATCTTTGAACAGTACTAAGATTTATTTTGTTTTTGTCTGATATTTAAATATGAAATATATCCATTGTATAATATAACAGCCAGGAGGAAGAAATAACTAGTTACTTTAAAATTTTCGTATGAAAGTATCGATCCCTTAATATCTTAAAGTTAAAATGGGAAAAATAATCAGTTAAACTTAAAAAACGATGCGTTTAGCCAAAAAAGAAAGTATCAATCAAAGTCAGCTGGTCATATAAAATTGAGAATGGAAAAGGGGTATGTGTCAAAGAGACAACAACCCGGCCAAAGAGCAGAAAACAGCCCAATGCCAACAATGGGTCTTCAACGCAGCGAGAAAATCCCGCACCCGGAGGTGGGCTTCAGCTGGCCCATAACCAAAAATGTGTACTAGGACAGCGAAAATGAACGTCACACTAGAGTCGAAACATATAAATGAACCAAAATTTAAAAAAAACATTCAAGACTAACAAAGGCCAGGGGCTCCTGACTTGGGACAAGCGCAAAAATGCGGCGGAGTTAAACATGTTTTGTGAATTCGCAACCCTCTCCCTGTACCTCTATCTAATGTAGAAAAAACAACAGCAATACGCACAGTAAAACTCAGTTTAAAAGAAGTCCGAGTCCGATGTTAGAATAGGTAACAGAAGAAACTAAGCAAAATGACAATGATATGTATCGATTTAGCTTTAGAGATTAAGGATACGCCTGTGCTGAAGAATGTTTCATTGTATCACTATACTCTCGCTTACATTGTATTCTTAACATAATGATGATATTACCAAATATTGTAAAAGTAGGAAAACCTAATACAAATAACATGTGTCACTCATATGACCACTCAAATAACGCAAATTTAAAATGTTTTCAATGTCCTCTTTTTCATTTGATCTCACAGCCTTCTAAAACAAAGAGACAGAAGATTCCTAATGGAAAACAGAAATCATGAGTCGAACAAAAACTGACTACACTATTGCAAAAACAGAAAAACGAAGAAATGAAAAACAACATTCTACAAAACTGAAGACTGAGCAACATTACCCTTACCAAAACCCGTGAGTAAACAAATGTTTGGAAAATGAACTAATAAGGACAATTACAGATATTACCCGTTTGCTTGTGTCAAATTGTATATTTGATTTAATGTAATTTAGTTCTTCTTTGGAAATCCATTGATTTTCGTCCGGTGTGTCATGAACAATCAAAAACCATGCTATAGCCCATAAAACTGTAAGTCCACCTGAAATGAAATATACAATATGTTGTCTAAAATGCGTTTCTCTTCTGGTTGCGACTGGTTATCTATTTCTCGCATGCAAAGATATTTCTCGTATCACACTACACTAATGTGTGAACAATTCAGTGATACAAAAAATATTTTAATTTTTTTGGCTTATCCAGGATCATGAAATGATATAACGAAATTTTCATTGGCTATTCGTTAGGTCATTGACTTTCAAAGGTCAATACGATGATGTTCATTTCCTCCGAGGGCAACGGAGATCTGTAATTTCTTTATTAATATACGAAACACTCTA